CGAACAGCGTAGGTGATATTGGAACTATGGACGTCGAAAACGCTTCCAGCAGCAAATTAATCAAGCCGGGCAAGCATTAAAACCAAGGCCAGGCCATTCAGATCAGCACAAAAGCGTGTCCATGTACACGCCCCTCCGCTCAACAAGCATTTATTGCATCTTTCATTTGCGCGCGCTCACGAATGTTTTCGATCGATATGCTGAAACGTAATAATACCGTTTTTGTTTTTCATTTTTCTTCTATCGCATCTTTCAGTAAACCCTTTTTCTTACACCTTTATTATATTTGTAGAATATCTGTTTGGAGTGGAACAGTTGGCTACATTATTTGATACTGTCACTATGGGCCTAAATGCATTTATTAAGCGCGCATGCGCGGAAGCAATAGTGAGGCAGGAAGCACATGTGTATTGGGGTTCGAACGTTTAATTCGAATTTCAAAAATTTTGTCGATATTTTCCCCTTGTGAAATTTGAAAAGCTCCGAAACATCGTTAGTAAACTTACACATAAAACACAGGTGCCATTGCTTTTTCAAAAAAGCTGTAACGGAATCTAGAGGGGCCACAACACAAGCCCCTCCCCCCCAAAAAAAAATAATGAATTATTTGCATCCTTTAAATTACCTTGTATCATAAGTTTCAAACATTTTCAGTGAAGTGACCTACTGACAATTTCGCTTCTAATACATTTTACGGAGACTTAACAAGGATGTTTAGTCGAACAATCACAAGTCCATCACAATTCAATCACAAGTCCAGTCACAAGTTTGTAACAATGGAAGAAAAATAATAAAGAGATGCAGTTGTCAAAGCTCATTTGAATAGCTTGCGAGTTGAATTGGGACTGGAGGAAAAGCCTTTGTTGTCAGTAAGACTGAAATCGGACGGACTTTTTGACACAAATGCATAAAAACCGCACCATATCAAGCGTGTCAATTATCGACTGAGTGACGGCTGCGGTTGCCAGGTAATGCTACAAAACATTCGGAAAGCGAAGCCCTGGCGGAATTCGTCTGCCTTGAATTACGTTAATTGAACTATATCTGCAACGTGAATATGATCCTTCTAAATACTTTGGTTCCCTCCCTCTTAGACAATATGACTATAATTATGCTTTTATCATAAACTGGGGCTGTAAAGCTCTCCATTGATAGTGGATGCATTCCTCTGGTCATGCATCACTGAGTTCCATTGTCTTGAAAATGGTATGTGAAAACCGACTTGGTACAGTTTGGGGTAAAACATTGCAAACCCAGCCAGTAGTAAGACAGGAGATTCAAGGGATACAACAACATGAACAAAACATATTGAACCGTTTGTCTCATTCCGTCTTTTGGATAGCCCATAGAGGATGATATTTATTTTGTACAGCGCTCACCATGGATACCCACTTTTAGTTGCCCGATGATTACCCGAGGCGAAGCCGATGGTAACTATCAGCATTTCAGACTCCAACCAGTCTTCGAGTTTAATACCGACCAAGCACATATTAATTCCCATTCCTTAATACCTTTTCGGTAAAAAAAGACTCAAGACTTTACGGTCCAAAAGTGAAACCAGTCAACAAATAAAAAATTTCCAACGATTTTGTTCAACAATTGTACTTTTTTCGAAACACCCCTTTAGCTATAGGGTGAGAAAAAAAGCGGAACCCCCCTAAATATATTTCTTATTTCAAAAACATGTAGCACCAAAAATAATAATGACTGGAAAGCCTATTTCAAAAGCTACTTTTAGATGAAAACATTAATGAAATTGCTCAATCTGTTCAAAGAATATCACCATTTAAACGCAATGACCCATTGAACCTGTCTTGTAAAAAAAAACACAATTTATTGTGTGTTTTAACTGTTTGGAACAACACAGAAAATGACACAGAATACTGGTCTCAACAACTATCACCAACTGTACATGTAGTACCCAATATCTATATCAACAACCCTGTTTAGGGAAACAATTTGATTTTTAAATCTACTTTTTTGAAATTATAACGATGTTATTATGGATGGTGGATGGCAGGATATCTCTTTTGAGAAGATGGGGTGGTCTTGAGAAAGACCGTTGGGTTTGGAGATCAATGAAGATGCTATATAAGATGGAATTTTTGCGTCGGGGTGATATAAATCAAATTAGGTTTTGCCCTTCACCGACGTTTAAACACTGTATACTCAGTGTGTTACCTCCCGAGTGAAAGATGCTGTAGCTACTCAAAAGAGATATCCTGCCATCCACCATCCATAATAACATCGTTATAATATCTGGAATATAACCCAATCTATACCTTATCCGTTATATTCAAACCAAAACTTCCACAGGAAATCATGGCAAGATGAAACATTCAACAAAGAAACTAAGAGATCACGAAACAACCAAAACCAAATCACTTTTCTGGTAAGGCGAGCCATCAGATAACAGACCGTTCGGGTACCGGGTCCGGTATGCTAATTTCTTTCGCCCCAATCGGTACGAAGCTAGAAGCCACCCGGTCACTGAAGCGTGACGCCCCAATCGGTCCAAACTGGTGACTCAGGGTTTCACAATAGGCAACATAAATTGAAGTCTGGCCATTGTTGGAGGATTATCCAGCCCACTGGGATTACCAGCGGCAACTTCTATGAAGCTCATCACAGTCATTGTTGCCTACTGGAGGATTAGCGCGTCGCAAATTGGTTCCTTTGTGATGAGCCAGAGCCATGGTGAAGAAGCCTGGTGGAGTTAATCCAGGCCGATCGGTTCCGTGCAAGGTCCCAATCCCTTCAACATACTGGGCGAGCTCAACCCCGAACGGTCCGGGGAGGGATTCTAATTTGAGGGCTCGCCTAAATGAAAATCTAAAACCAACCGAGGAAAATCCAATCATTTGCGCTCATGAGCAGAACATTATGAAGCCTTCATAACATACCTATCAAAAGCAAAACTATCGCAAACCGAAATAATTGCTTTTTGGACAAGGTCTCTATGTCATACATGTACCTGCTTATGCTAAACCAAGTCACAAATCACTCGTAAGCAACATCAATAATGTATCTTCAACCGAAGACTAATATGTACATCACTAATGCGTAACAAACGCTCTAAAAACCATTCTTTCAAACCAGCCACCAATTGGCATCCGAAATCAACCTCTAGTGAAATGCTAGAAAAATACCCGGAAACCACTAAATTTAAGCTTGCACACAAGTTTAACACATTGAATTCTAGGATGAAGAAAAATCAAAACAAACTCCACCTGTCTTCACCACAACATACAACCCAGCCATAACACACCGTGACCTGCACTGGAACATAATCCAAGGCAATAAACTACTCTACGGAAACATTTCCGAAATCCCAATTCATTGCCTTCAGAAAAGCCGCCAGCCAACCGAGTCAGCTTCGATTCTTTTTTAAATCACCAATCTATAAGGCCAAAAAAAAAAAGTCTCCGGTTTCTGGTATGGAGCTTGCCCAAAAAGTGGTGCGGCGACGCGGCTTTTTTTTTTTTTTTACCTGATTTTTTTTGCTTCAAATGTTGGCTGATGACTGCAAATGTTGCCCGACTAAACTTAGTGCAAATATATGGGAGTCAAGATAGGCCACATAAACCTTATTCTCGACCATAACCCAATCTAACAACACGTTAAAATTGTGCAGCAGCAGGATTCCAGTCAAACCTTTGAGTTTGGCGGTTTTGAGACATCATCTTTCATTGAAAAAAAAAAGTTTTCATTGCCGACGCGCATGGCTACGGCGACGCTCGCGCATACGAGAAACCGGAGACTTTTTTTTTTTGGCCTAACTGAAGAGTGTCCATACAGCAAGGCACGAAAGCATGCTATTGCTGACAAGAGGATTTGCGAACATAATCCTCTGCTCGCACCTTTAATCACATTTGATTACCCAACCTATCATAGTCACTTAATCTCTTATGTCCGCCCACTCTACATTTCAATCGGACATAACCGGCAAAGACTAAGTCATGCTTAAAATCATACTAAGCCATACTAATTCTAATAATTAATTATTAATAACAATTACCATAAAATTCCATCTTATAATAGTTTTTGCGGTACCCGCTGCTATGTACATTAGATTCGAACCGACTGCTATGTACATTAGATTCGAACCGACCAACCGATCCCGTTAGCTCGGTAGTCGAGTGGTAAGACATCTGCACTAGAAAGCAGGAGGTCGTGGGTTCGAGTCCCACCCGAGTGATTTTTTTCCAACTTTCACTAGGGAGGTAACACACTGAGTATACAGTGTTTAAAAAACGTCGGTGAAGGGCAAAAACCTAATTTGATTTGAAAATAAATATTTGAAATTCACCTTGAAAACATAATGCAAGCCACTCTATTAATTTGTTTCCCATATTTATGGTCTCTGAAAAGAGGCAAAATTGTCTGAAAACCTTGTTATCTATAATCACTTCATTATTAATGTTTGATATCTTCATTATTTAAGTGTGCTATTCAGAGTGTTTAAAAATGTATCACTTTCTTATCCTTTAGTTTTCACGAAAACAAGCTTAATTTTAAAGTTCTTGATTCTACTAGCACGGAAAAGATACATCGCAGCTGTACCTTCTTGTTCAAACTTTCTTTTCATATGTTTTTATTGCACAAAATATGAAGCAGTGACATAATGCAGTTTACTTACATCATAATTTTACAAAAAACCTTAAGGCCTATGGGAAATTAAGAAATTGTGTAAATATGGCTGCCTATTATAGGTTTTCACGGCTATTTCAAAACGTTTATCATTCTAATTCACTGTTTTTAACGTTCAATATCCGTCCATCAACATCGATTGATTGCATTTCAAATGTTCAATTTGTCTTTTGTCAGAAAACTTCAAATTCAGTTCAAGAAAACTCAAACAATGAGCACACGGTTTTGTACCGGCGTATTCGACTTCACCTCGTCTGCGCCAAGCCTTGTTATTCAGAAATTAAAGTCTAAGACGAATTTGATATCGGAATGCTGCCATTCGGCAACAGCTTGGACCAATTTGATCTGTAATGACGAATATTATCGACCCGCTGACTAAAGAGGGTAGCAGAACTTTGAATTTTTTTGGTTATTGACTCGATTGATTCTCTTAAAAGCGGGTGAATTTGAACGAAAACTCCTTTAAAAAAAGCCGGAAAAACCTCATAGTCAATAAATCATCATATTCACGAGAAAAGGTATGGAACCCTACATTTTGAGATAATAGGTTTAGTTACTCACTTCTCTGAATGCTAAAAAATTAATTATCATTTTATTATACCATTAATAATTGTATCTTAAGCTCATCTCGTTAACAGATAAAAACCTCATACTAAACACCTGTTCATAATGTTGAACAGATTACCACTCTATTCTATGTTTATTATTTTAATATTGATACCAAAAGCCTAAACGACCCCTTATGTTGGAACCGTTTGATGGGCCTGAAAAAAACCCTGTTCTAGCGAGGACAAAACTGCGAAATCAAATCAGCTTCCATTTGACCGTTTAACAAGACCCTCCGAAGATATTTCCAAATAAATGACAAACATTTCACGAAGGAATCGTGTAATTTGCAGCAAGGGAAATAACATTAATTCATACTCCCGCGACGAACCATGAGGGAGGAACGCGACATTTGGCCATCCAATGCACCAGCCCACCTCATACCGCGGTAATCTTGCCCCGTGTAGTTGACGGGATAGGAATACTCCCCATTCAGGTTAGTCGGCACGAGATCCACATTCCCGACTCCTCCAGTACAAGTCTTGAACCACCAGCCTCCCTTCAGCTGAGCGGCACAATTGGCGTTGCCATCGGCGTCGTTGTCGCGATCGTAGGTTGAGAACGGCTGGCCTGAGTGAACGTCAGTCATTGACTTGCCTGGGAAACAGAAGGAAAAAAGTATATGTATTCCCGGCTAATTAAAAACGTTTGTCATTAGAATGCCCGTTTCTAATTTTCAAATTATTCCATCAACACCAATTTAGTGCACTTCCAATGTTTAATCTTGTCTTTTGTCAGACAATTTCAAATTCAATTCAAGACAATTCAAACAATGAGCACACGTTTTTGTCTCGGAGTACTCGATTTTGTCTCGTCTACGCCAACCTTGTTATTAAGAAATTAGATTCGTATAATTGATTTATATAAGACGAATTCGATCTCTGAAAGCTGCCATTTGGCAACAGCTTAGACCACTTTGATATGTACTGACAAATATTCTCCACCCGGTACTATAAAGAGGGTGACCGAACTTTGAAATTGAATGGTAAATGACAGAATTGGTTTTGTAAAAAGCGTGTGACACTTTTCTCGGACGGTGTTGAATGTTAGAGTTGGTGAATTTCAATGAAAACTCTTTTACAATAGCCGGGAAAACCTGTATTTCCACTAAAAGTGTATATAGTTCAAACAGTGACGTACACACTTTTTCACATCTTAAGTCATAGCCATTATAGTTTTTTTCCCCGATTTTTAAAAAAGTTTAGCATTCGAATTCACAATAATTAAATTAATGTCCAGAAACCTTAATTATATTCAGTGTATTTCCAGTATTAAATTTCGTCTTTCGTCAGACAATTTCAAATATAGCTCAAGCAAATTCAAACAATGAACACACGTTTTCGTCCAAGACTATGCGATTTCGAATGTCTACGCCACACCATGTTATTCAGAAAGTTCGTTCAATTTCGTCATACTACATTTGTGGCGAAAGTCATGGTCTATAACATTTTAGCATACTCTCTGATTCTTTATGCAAGACAATCGCATCTTGACCTCCAGATTTGACCAGTCAGCGGGCACTTTCTATATCGGGTTCTCCGGTCATTCAGCGTTGTCGCGTCGTAGATCAGACATGCATACAAAATACACAAGACACAGCAACAAAGTCTGTGGTCACGCGCTCTGTATTATGTTACGCGATACACGCCCGGCTGTGGTATTACAAAACTCTGCATTCAAATTGCCCAATCATAGTCTAGTGCTGACTTTGGAATGAAATGACGTAATGATTTTGTAAAGTCGAATCCGATTGGCTGAGGCGCGAGATCACATAAATCTGTATGCTTTGACATATCAGACGTTATACAGGAGACTATGCTCCGTGGATAACGGGTGAAATACTTAGACTAGGTGGTGTCTATCACAAAGCATCACTAGAACTAATATGAGACATACGCGTTTTGAATAATGAAGTAAACTCTTAACCGAAAATTGTGAGTCTTTCCAAGGGGCCGAATCACAAGTCCGACGCCTCATAGGTCCGACGCCTGATAGGTCTACGCCTCATAAGTCCGACACCTCATAAGTCCTACAATGGACAAACACTGTTTCGGACTTATGAAGCGCCGGAGCTATGAGGCGGAGTAAATAAATGTTATGCCTCATAAGTCCGACGCCTTAAAAGTCTGACGCCTCATAAGTCCGAAATGTCGGACTTATGAAGCGTCGGACCTATGAGGCGTCGGACTTATGAGCGGACCCCTTTCAATACAACCTGCGAGGAAATTTTTAAGAATCACTCATTATACATTTTATTTATTTATTTTCTGGTAAGACAAGGAAACCAAGGATTCCTTTAAAGTGTCCTAGGCACTGTAGCTCGAAACCGCTAGAAGTAGACAATGAGAAGAAGTTACAGTTTTACACGTGGGAGATAAAACCCACGAAATCAGGTCGGGACTGAAAACCCAATACAAATGTGGACCGGGCAGGAAAGTATGCATTGTCAATAAAGAACATTTTTTTTTACCACCTGGAACTGGAATAACTTGCACTTTCCACAAGAACACTCATTGGGGTTTATCTGTCTTATATGCCGTCCGGACGGTCCGGTTCACGGCATATATGGCTTTGGATATTACACTACAAAAGTACCTGTTGGCCATTGAGGCGATGGATCAGCATATAGTGTGTAGTTGTCACCTGCGATCTGGAATTGCTCAAGAAGTATTCTACTGCCGCGGTCTCCACCACCTACAAATATCTGCAGTTGCCAAGTGCCTTCCGAGGTCAGCTGGCGGACTATCTCGTTGCCCAGCCAGAACTCCCCCTTCAGGTCACCGAAGCCGTCTCGGTACTCGGCCCAGCTACGGGTAAAATTCACCGACCCGTCCATACGTTTCTGAATCACCTTGAACGAGAAAACAGCAAAGGAACGAATTGATCACTTTTTGTTATTATAAAAACGGACAGTAAAATCGAAGACGGCGACATCAAAATGACACTACCAGACATGCCGTGATAAATCATCATAACACCACATTAATATCGGACGATTGGTTAAAATGATACCACCAATTAAGTAAATATTTCATATTGCGGGTATTTTGCTTGTTGCGCAAACTCGTACGTTGGTGGTGTTCAGATGGGGAGTGATATTGAAAAACAATCTCCGCTCTTGTTTGTTCCTACAGAGTCAAACAAGGGACCCTATTTATACCTTACACTGAAATAATAGTCAAAAAATTAGTGGAAACTTGATCTATTAATTTGAATAATTTTCATTCTAAATCATCTTTCCCTCTTTCAGTGGTATACATTGAATTGCAGTCGAATTTCAAGAGTGAATTCTTTACTCTTTGGAAATGAGAGAGCCGCGCGGTCACCAAAGAGCTCTGCGTGATCCCCGGCTTTGTTCATTGTTTCTATGCCCTTTCTGCGCACACACACACAAAAATCGTTCAGTAGGATAAGCATACCACCTTGCACAAGCACAATATTTGCGTACGTTAAGGTTGACATAAAAAGTTCGACTTTGGGGAGTTGACGAACCACCGACTCTCATGTCAAGGAATGGGCCTGACAGCCCTGAATGATGATTTCAAGTCCAATGAACTGCGTCTTCGAGTGACATAAACGGAAGGAACTTACCACCCAATCTAAATGGCAATAAACGGCCAAGCCGTTTGGATATTGCGGTGGGTAGATAGTGACGGCATCATACTGTACCCCGGCATCATGACTCTCTCTGCAGTCAGCATATCGGGGAGCTGAGGCCGTTGTCGAAATATCGACTTCAACTTCGACATTGGCCTGGCTGACTTCTAAATAATTTAGAGAAAAAAAATCAAACCAAAATACTTTATTTAAAATTTTTGTCTCATTTTCAAAATGCTTTGATGTTCTTTGATGAAGAACACAGTCGCGTATATTTCAGCCTATTCGTCAAGGTCAGAAAAATTGCGCACAAGCATCATTCCTTTGTCCCTTTTATATTCCGGGAAGTGGCAGGTGCGGTTCTACGGAGGGGAAGAGCGGGTGTGGGGGAAGGGGGGGGGGTAGGGGGCCGTAGCCGTGTGTAGTACCCCCACCCCCAAAAATAAATAAAATAAAATAAAAATAAAAATAAAAATCCATGAAAACAATGGCAGTGGCCAATTTTAGAAGTTGACGTGCAAATTATCTCACTCCCCCAAAAAAGTGGTGAGAAGAGGGCATTTGTACACTATTATAGGGTATTATAGTGTGCATGATTGTACTCACACAGAACGAATAGTAAAAATATAATAGGTAAAAAAGTTGTGTAAGCAAATACACAGTTTCAGTAAACATTGACGAAAAGAATTTACAGAATTATAATGTAGATTGAAAAAAAAAAAACATTTTAAAATGTAAATATGTACATTTTCACGAGTTGCGTAAACACGTCCGATATTTTACTTTTCCAATGGTAAACCTTACAAAGTTGCAATGAAAGTTGTCATCCATTATGTATGGATAACCGATTCGAAGGTAAGGCAAAATAAATAAAAATTTCGGTCTCTGGTCAGACCAAAGTTCCGGAATTGACGCGGCCACGCGGCTTTTTTTTTTTTTTTTGGCTTTTTTTTTCTTCTTCAAGCTTGGATTGTACAGACAAGGTGGGTGCTATTTTTTTTTTTTGTGTCCTCCTAATAATTTGCATTGGTGCTTTCGATCATTTGCCTTGGTGCAATTTCACATTCCTTGGTGCTCTTTGGTAAAACAAATTGAGGAGGTGCGGAAATAGAGGGCGCTGTTGGAGCTACCGCGGAACATTTTGGAAAAAAAAAAGATCGACGCGCATGATTATAATCGACGCGCGCGCTGACCAGAGACCGACTTGTTTTTTTTGGCCTAAAGCCCGCCATGTGGCTGCCATGTGTTTGCAGTGTGCTATTCGCAAAGCACAAACGCGTGAAGCTTCTTCGTACTTTTCGAACAATAAAAGCCACCAAGTTTGTACGTCGTCGGCCTGGGAATCGAGTCGTTTAAAGAAATTACCCGAAGCCTATAATTTACTAACCACTTTGTTTGGGATTTTATCAGCGCTCCCCATTGAAAATGTGGTACAACACCCCCCCCCCCCCCCATAGATTTTTGAATGCCTAATTGTCCGGAGAAAAAAGGTCAACATTTCAGCACGCCTCCCTGCACTAATTTCTGGATCTACCCCCGCCACCCCAACCTTCCAAAAACAAATAGGCTCTAGAACCGTGCCTGGGAAGTGGGTAGCTCAAACTTGCAATATTTGAAAGGAGAGAGTTAAATATATATTATAACTATTCATGGGGAGGCCTACAGTTTTCTTTAAAACAAATAAATATAAAAAAATGGGAAATCCTTAGTTTTGTTCTGACGTTAAACAACTTCTTGGTTTCAAGGCAGCTCACATTGAGGTAAAGGAAGGAAGTACCATAACGTGCGTTCATTTCACAATATCAAAAAGATGTTCTTGTAATTGTCTTTGCTTATCCTATACCTCCATCAATTAGGTTACTGAAATTTAAATCGCTTTAACAGTGTTTTTACGAAGTAACTTTTAAAAAATGTGTTCAAAGCTTTGTTTACTAAGTTCTCCTTACCAGTCGAGTTTTGTGTCCCTGGGCATCGTTTGCGTATTTCTCGAGCGGCTGCTTGCATCCAATGTTCACCAGGAAGCGGCTCCGGTGGCGGACCGAAGTAACAAGTCTTCATCTGGCTCTCAACAACATCTGTAAGTACTGAAAAATTGATAGTGAACACATGACAGTCATTTTTTGAATGACTAAGTGATATAAAAGCAAAATTTCTTCTTATTGAAACTAATTTAACCGATCAAAATGGGGTAAACATTTCCAGGTGTCAGGAATAGACGACTTCCCTTTCACATGTACCGATGATCGCACGCCGCGATATGGGAATGTAGGCCTGAGCACCTACTTGTGCCTTGTACATATGTTAAGGCCACTAAATCTGATATTGATACCAGTATACAAATAACATGCAGCTATGCCATTTAACAATTGTACATGTAACGAATATCCTTGTATGTTCATTCTTATTTTTTCCAGAGCGATCGGATCTTGATTATCATTCATGTAATTCTAGATAGGGAGCGTCTCATAAGTTGGAACGCTCGGAACGTTCTCATTGGAACGGAGTGTTCCCGAACTGGAACGCTCCGGCGTTCCATTGGGAACACGGGACCGTTCCGTTGGAACGGCAAAATCCCTTTGCGAGAACGGTCCAGCGGAACGGTCGGGAACACGCGTTCTTTTGCGCGTTCCAGCAGAGCGTTCCTAGCATAGCGCGTATACGATGGCCCAGTTTCGAATATTTGCCCATATTGCGTCAGGGAAAATGGCGTCGCGATCTCCGGCAAACCGTGTGTCACTGAACGGTAGCTTTTGCCTGTTTTTGAGGATTTATAATATTTGGACGTGATTATGAAATTTCTGTGATGGTTTGGGTACTAAATAGTTCAACACAAGGTACGAGTGATTGTTAATGCGGATGGAATCTTGGTAAATCTAATGATGTAAATATCGTTTCTGTGGTGAAACGTCAGTAGCCCCGAACCTCACATCACTTGCAATCGCTACGCTGTGGTGAGTGTGTATTCACGTCAAAGTATACTTGTACAAGAACAATATTTTGTTTAATAATACTTTGATAATGCGTACTAGATTAAGGGAAATCTCCCCCAAAAAAATCGTAGATAGAGAAGGGGTATGGGGATTTCGAAATATGTTAAGTGAATTTCTGTTGAATATAATCGATTACGAAACACAGTGGCTGTTGGTACGGAAGATGTGAAGTTCTCTGGTGAAATTTCACCATGAACTTTTACATCGCTACGGTGATTGTATATTCACGTTTACAAATAATACAGGGCGCATGTTTGCAGTATGCATGCAAGAACAAAAAGTGTCTTTGACACTAGTACGTAATAGGTTTACTAAAATCACCCGACAAAACAGCGTAGAAAGAGTGAAGGATTTTGAATTACAAACAAATCATTTCCAAACAATATAGCCTTCATCTCGAAAACAGCCCCGCTGATAAAATGAACGAGAGGGCCTGTATGTTTTGTCATGGTACTTTGCGATACTTTTACGAAATAAAAATGGAAAAAGATAAAAGCAGAGCTTAATTTTGACGATGTACTTTTTGTCAGACAAATTCCACGTTTGAAACTAAACTCTGACTCCAGGTCCTGCTGCACGGACGTACTCACGTATACCCGAGCGCGAATACCCATCCGTGCAGCGTTCCGCCGGGAACACGGTGTTCCCTCCCCGTTCTAGCTGGACCGCAGCTCGGTGCGTTCCCTTCAAGCCGCGGAATGCACCCGCGTTCCATCGGGAACACGGCACGTTCCCGTTGGAACGCCTGGCGTTCCTACGGAACGTTCCATTGGACCGCGAACGTTCCCGACTTATGAGACGCTCCCTTAAGACCCCCCCCCCAAAAAAAATACTCGGTCTCTGGTCAGCGCGCGCATCGATTTTAATCATGCGCGTCAACCTTTTTTTTCCCCTTCAAATTAACACGGAAGCTACAACAGCGCCCTCTATTGCCGCGCCTCCTCAATTTTTGTACCAAGGAGCACCAAGGAATGGGGAAATTGCACCAAGGCAAATGATAAAGGGCACCAAGGCAAATTATGGAGGACACCAATGTATTATGAGGACACAAAAAAGCAAAATAGTACCCACCTTGTCTGTACAATACAAGCTTGAAAAAAAGCCACCAAAAAAAACAACAAAAAAAAACGCGTCGCCGCATCAATTCCGGAACTTCGGTCTGACCAGAGACCGACTATTTTTTTTTGGCCTAATCACTCATCTTAACAATTAACGGACCTCTCTCAAATGTTGGCACTGAACACACCACCTGCAGACTCGGGTCGAAAGTATGTTTTTCTCCTAAAGCCCACCGTACACTACGGCTACGGAGCTGAGCAATTGTAATTGGAGGCCGTTTGCTAAGCACGTGGCTCAAAAAAATCAAATTTGTGCGGTGAATTTGTGCTGAGTTTTCTGCCTCTCGAGGCTGTGAGGCAAATATCTATCCTGTTTGATTTCGTTCGCCTCGCGAGGCGAAAACCTCACCGTGTGGTGCGGTCAAGGGGAGCTACGTGCTGAGCAAAAAGATTAACTAGCCAATGAAATCACGTACTCTAGTCTGTACACGTGATTTTAAGATATTTTTTGTGTGCAAATCTTCTAAAGCCTGCATGCTGGCGTTTGTCCACAACGTTTTTAATCGCGCGACCGACAAACAAGAATAGTGTTCTTTAATTGGCTAGTTATATTTATTGGGTTTTTTTTTAGCTCATCAGCACGTAGCAGCTACGTGCTGGGCTCGCGTTGACCACACGCGGTGATAGCACCACCTATCTCACACTATTTGAAAGACTTTGCCTCTTTTCTCAATGGCTAAACATCTTATGTCAATCTTAAGCTACGAACATCAATGGTTTTTATGGCAAAAAAACTGTAAGTTAACGTTAAATCGGTTTTGAGTCCTAAATTTGATTAAAATTGTATTTAATGCAAAAGAACGTGTCATGAAATTTATCTTAACACTGTTTTGCCATCAAAATGATGCATTATTGTATATATGTGACTATAATGCGGCAAAGCAAAATAAATTCTGAAATGTATTATAATTTCGAAACTAGCCAGAAATGTACTGTCAAATTTAACAGGAAAGTAAAATAAAATATGTCGCATGATCACACTTTGACAGCCAAAAAAAACCCACTTATTCACACACACAAAAATAGTAGGTTAAAGTTTAAACTCCATTTTCTCAAAACACCGTTTTTCGAGTTAGGCTGCTTTGCCATGAATGAGCCGCGGGCTGGTGTGAGTTTGTAATATACCTCTATTTCATTGCTTTCATTTCTACTCGCAAATAAAAAAAAAAAAAGAGTTTATGAAAATGAAGAGTTTACCTCGCTTTCAATTTAATAAGGCCGACTCGTGAATAAAGGCTACAATTGTCGTGCCGCAAGTAGGTTAACAATTGTAAAATATTATTTCACGAGTTTATAGTTCTAATGTATGTCACGGTTACGTGTAGGGTAATTGCTGCCTAACGTGGTTAGTCCGCTTAATGATTAATTAGGAATAGATCTCCTTGGCAATTAAAGGGGAAAAACAATCAGAAATGAGCACGAATTCCAGGCAATATTACTGTCCAGATGTTTTCCAATGATTTAATAAATTTTAATCTTGTTTGAATAAATTGAAGACTATTAGTGAGAGATATTAATACTATGATATCCAGCAATCAGTCAATTAAAATATTCTAAGTTTGTGTGAAATATCTGTCACGTCAAATCAGTTAAAGGATGTTCACAAGTTGCTAAGACACAAAGGATATATCAAAAAGCCTATACCACAGCTTATGCCAAAGAATACCAGTCTGTGGTGGGCCACCAGCGACAAAATAAGAATGTTTGGCAATATGTGTAGTACGTCAAAGATATGCTCAGCTATCATAGTGCAAATGTTCGACGTGTAAGCACTGTATCACTACAAATATTCAACTAAATCTGCAATGTTGAACTATATGCTAATATATTTCACATCAGCTTACAAGAACATCGTCAAAATATTGAAATACGGTTATCTCAGTGTCTTGCTTTGAACAAGTATCAACACGTCCAGCAATATATATAGCCCAGATGTATGTACCAAAACAAATTATGGTGTAATACAGTTTAGGATATGAGCTAATTATGAGTTAAATCTCAAATATGAGCTACGAGCTTAATTATGACATGAGTAAAATATACTCTGAGTAAAATGTAGTCCGAGCTAATTATGAGTAAATAGTTATCTGAGTTATGAGTTATGAGCACTGTGCAGACCCGCTCTCTCCACTTATAAGAGTCAACCTGTGTAAACAACACACAGAGCGAATACATAAATAGTCGTCGAGAGCTTACATGAAACAGCCGTATGCTTCACGTGAAAGTCACACGATTAATCTTCACACAAAACTTCTCACACAGTTTCCCGAGAATGGTACACAGAAAACTTGTCCAAAATGGCAGATTCTGATTTGGGTTTGAGCCTACACTCGGTCCACATGTTCTATGAACCTGCATTTATAACATGGTTAGCTCATAATAAGGTATTTCGGTGAATGAAATGTACAAAATAAGTGAGATTTACAGAGAAAGTGGAACCTTCTTCTTTACGAAGGGAACTCCAGCAAGCGAGAGGATGGTTTCGTGTAGTGTGCCGAAGCACGTCGCGTAAGATTACAGTACTGGGCCTACATATCGGACATAATATAACAATTTACAAAGTTTGTTATTGTTTCGCTATTATTATGACAGGAATATTCAAATGCAACGATCATGATTCATTACAAATATTGATTATGTCTAATAATTTGTATGGAGATAGATCAATTACATTAATTTATGGGC